CTGTTCTGTATCTTAAAGTCCTCATATGAGTGAAGTCATATGATATTTGTCTTTCTCTGACTAATTTCACTTAGTATAATACCCTCTATTTCCATCCACGTAGTTGAAAATGGCAAGATTTCATTCTTTTTGATTGCCGAGTAATACTCCATCGTATATATATACCATATCTTCTTTATCCATTCATCCATCAATGGACATTTGGGCTCTTTCCATACTTTGGCTCTTGTGGATAGTGCTACTCTAAACCTTGGGGTGCATATGTCCCTTCGAAACAGCACACCTGTATCCCTTGGATAAATACCCAGTAGTGCAATTGCTGGGCCGTAGGGTAGTTCTATTTTTAACTTTTTGAGGAACCTCCATACTGTTTTCCAGAGTGGCTGTACAGTTTGCATTCCCACCAGCAGGGCAAAAGAGATCCTCTTTTTCTGCATCCTCACCAACATCTGTTGTTGCCTGAGTTGTTAATGTTAGCCATTCTGACAGGTGTGAGGTGGTATCTCATTGTGGTTTTAATTTGTATTTCCCTTATGATGAGTGATGTTGAGTGCTTTTTCATGTGTCGGTTGGCCATCTGGATGTCTTCTTTGGAGAAGTGTCTATTCATGGCTTTTGCTCATTTCTTGACTGGATTATTTGTATTTTGGGTGTTGAGTTTGAGAAGTTCTTTATAGATTTTGGATACTAACCCTTTATCTGATATGTCGTTTGCAAAAAGCTTCTCCCATTCTGTCAGTTGCCTTTTAGTTTTGCTGATTGTTTCCTTCACTGTGCAGAAGCTTTTTATTTTGATGTGGTCCCAATAGTTCATTTTTGCTTTTGTGTCCCTTGCCTCTGGAGATGTGCCTCTGGAGAAGTTGCTGCCACCAAGATCAAAGAGGTTTTTGCCTGCTCTCTCCTCGAGGATTCTGATGGCTTCCTGTCTCACATTTAGGTCTTTCATCCATTTTGAGTTTATTTTTGCGTATGGTGTAAGAAAGTGGTTGAGGTTCATTTTTCTGCATGTCACTGTCCAATTTTCCCAGCACTGCTTGCTGAAGAGACTGTCTTTATTCCATTGGATATTCTTTCCTGTTTTGTCAAAGATTAGTTGGCCGTATATTTGTGGGTCTATTTCTGGGTTCTCTATTCTGTTCCATTGATCTGAGTGTCTGTTTTTGTGCCATGTATCAAGTTTTGAAATCAGTAGGATTAAGTCTTCCAACTTTGTCTTTTTCTTCCTTCCTTCCTTCCTTCCTTCCTTCCTTCCTTCCTTCCTTCCTTCCTTCCCTCCCTCCCTCCTTCCTTCCTTTCTTTTTAAAGATTTTATTTTTTTAAGTTTATTTATTTATTTTGAGACAGACAGAGACAGCACAAGTGGGGGAGGGGCAAAGAGAGAGGGAGAGAGAGAGAGAATCCCAAGCAGACTCCACGCTGCAGCTGTGGAGTCTGACATGGGGCTCAAACCCACATTGGTGAGATCATGACCTGAGCTGAAACCAAAAGTCAGACGCTTAACCAACTGAGCCACCCAGGGGCCCCTAAAGATTTTATTTTTAAATAATTGCTACACCCAACGTGGGGCTCAAACTCACAACCCCAAGATCAAGAGTTGCACACTTCACCAACTGAGCCAGCCAGGCACCCCTGTTTGTCTTTTCAAGCTTCTTTTGGCTATTTTGAGTCCCTTGCATTTTCATGTGAATTTTAGGATCACCATGTACATTTCTGTAAAAAAAGGCACCTGGCATTTTGATAGGGATTGTATTGAATCTGTAGATCAATTTGGGGAATATTACGGTTAACAATATTAAGTCTCTCTTTCTGTCCATGTATACTGCATTTTTTCATTTATTTAGGCTTTCTCTAAATCCTTTCAACAGTGTTTTGTAGTTTTCAGAGTACAAGTTTTACACTTCTTTTGTTAAGTTTATTCCTAAGCATTGTTTTCTTTTTGATTCTATTGTAAATGGAAGTTTCTTAATGTTCATTTATTTTTGAGAGACAGAGAGCACAAGCTGGAGAGGGGTGGAGAAAGAGGGAGACAGAATCCAGAGCAAGCTCCAGGCTCTGAGCTGTCAGCACAGAGCCTGACATGGGGCTCAAACCCACGAACAGCGAGATCATGACCTGAGCCAAAGTCGGATGCTTAACCGACTGAGCTACCCAGGAGCCCCTTAATTTCATTTTCAGATTATTCACTGCTAATGTACAGAAATACAAGTGATTTTTGTACATTGCTATTGTACCCTGCAACCTTGCTGGACTTGTTTATACTGATAGTTTTTTAGTGGATTCCTTAGGGTTTTCTATGTACAAGATCATGTCATCTGCAAATACATTTTCGTTTCCTTTCCAGTTTACCCAGATTTTTGTTTATTTTTCTTGCCTAGTTGCCCTGGTTAGAACCTCTAGGACAATGTAAAATAGAACTGATAAGAGTAGGCATCTGTGTTCTGTTCCTGATCTTAGAGGAAAATAATTTAGTCCTTACTATCAAATATGATGTTAGCTGTAGGTTTTTTGTAGATGCGCTTTTATAGTTTGAGGAAGTTCCTATCTCTTCCTAGTTTAAGTGTTTTTATCATAAAAGAGTATTGGATTTTGCAAATGCTTCTTCTTTGTCTATTGAGATGATCCTGTGGGGTTATTTTTAATCTTTATTCTATTGATGTAGTGTATTACATTGATTTTCTTATGTTACATTAACCATGTATTTCTGGGATAAATCTCACTTGGTCATTGTATATAACCCTTTTTTTTATGTTGCTATGTTCAGTTTACTACTATTTTGTGGAGGATTTTTATGTCTGTATGAATAAGGGATAATGGTCTATGGCTTTCTTTTTTTGTAATGCCTTTGTCTGGCTTTGGTATCGGGTAATATTGGTTTTATAGAAAGAATTGGGAAGTGTTACCTCTTCTATTTTTGTTGGAAAAGTTTGTGAAGAATTGGTATCAATTCTTTAAATGTTTGGTAGAATTTGCCAGTGAGGCCATATGGGGTAAGCTTATTGTGGGATAAGCTTTTGAATTAACTAATTCAATCTTTTTTACTTGTTGCCTTGTTTCTAACTTGTAGATCATGCAAGCTGCTTGTAGACACACGTTTCTGTAAAAGGAGAAGGAATCTGGGAAGAGCAGGCACAGCAGGAATTGGGAAAATTGAAGGTTTCTAGTTGACTCTGCTTGGAGATGTGTCTTCTCTCCCTTTATCACCCATGTTTCCTAGATGAAGTAGTCTTCCTTCACCCTCATAAATGAATGCTTTTGAGGTTAGGACCAAAAAACTGAGCCTCTTAGGTGGAAAAAGTAGTTGTATAACCACACCTGACACAGGAGGGAATTAGTATTCAGACCGAGACAAGTGAGAGCAGAAGCTCTCTCAGGTTTCCCTGGCTCGTGTGTGTGTGTGTGTGTGTGTGTGTGTGTGTGTGTGTGTGCGCGCGCGCGTTTTCATGTTCTGCCTTGCCTTAAATATCAATAAAAAGTGAAGATTCCCCAGCTGTTAAGGTTCCCAGGTCATAAGTGATAGACCACAATGAACTACCATATAGCCATTTAAAGAATGAGGTAGCAGGTGCCTGGGGGGCTCACTCATTAAGCATCTGACTTTGGCTCAGGTAGGTCATGATCTCACGGTTCATGAGTTTGAGCCCCATATCGGGTGAGCTTGAGCCCCGTTTCAGGTGAACACAAGCCCCTCTTCAGGTAAAAACATGAGCCCTGCTTCGGGTGAGCCCCACTTCTCTCTCTCTCTCTCTCTCTCTCCTTCTGCCCCTCCTGGGATTCTCTATCTCTGCCACTCATTCTTGCTCTCTCTCTCTCTCTCTCTCTCTCTCTCAAAAAAAAAAAAAAAAAAAAAAAGAATGAGGTAGCTTTTGGAGTGCCTAGGTGGCTCAGTTGGTTAAGCTTCCGACTCTTGATTTCAGCACAGGTCCTGATCTCGTAGTTTGTGGGATCAATCCCTGAGTCGGGCTCCATGTTGATGGTGCAGAACCTACTTGGGATTCTCTCTCTCTCTCTCTCTCTCTCTCTCTCTCTCAAAATGAATAAACTTAAAACATATTTTAAGAATGAGGTAGCTTATTATGTGCTGATATGAAATGATCCCCCAAGATATATCATTAAGCAAAACATGCAAAACAGTGTGCTGCCATTTGTATTACAAAAATAAATAAATAAAATAAGGGGTGGAGAGAACTGTAGATGCACACAGACTGGTAAATGCAGAGCACCTTTGGAAGGGTGCCGAACATAAGAGTCAGGGGTCAGGGGTGACTTCATACCACATGGGTGTTTTCTTCTGTGTGGTTATGGTACCCTAAACAGTTTTTTGAAGTGATGAGCCTGTGTGAAGTGCAGGGGTGAGGCTGTGAGTTGGCCATTTTGGCACATTTCTCCTGGGCACAGTGTCTGTGTTTTCATGGAAACACCTGTCCCTCCAGACTGTACATCTCTGCTGAGGTGTGTGAGGCCCAATTTAGACCTCCATGTACTTGAAGCCCCCAGTGTTCCTCAGAAATCCCTGTATCTGTCTACCTGTGGGAAGCCAGTGACCAGTTTCAAAGGCCCTCCACAGTTGTTGGTTCCTTTTAGAACACTTTCAGCAGCACAGAAAAGGATTGGAACCAGGCATGTGTTTTTCCAAGGTGAAGTGCTTTCACTGCCCTCTAGCCTCCCTGAGGATTTCTGGCCAGGTGGTCCCACACTAAAGCACTTTATTCTTTTTTGGCAGACCTGATCATGGCTCCCTCCCACCCCAAATAAGTTTTTGGATGTGCCAGGCCAAGTGAGCATCCACGCTAGCAGGCTGTCCTATTCTACTGAAGGCTGGCAGAACTGGCAAGCAGGGACACGTTTGGTTTTGGGGGAATATCCACAATCTTTTCTCCCATATGAGTGAATGCTTCCCCTGGAAGGCTGGGCAGCTTCCCAGCCCAGGCTTCTCAGATACCAGGGTTCCAGGCCTAGACGCGAGGCCTCCAACACTGAGCGTTGCCATGTCTCTCCCACAGAGAACACCTTCTGCAGTGGGGACCACGTGTCTTGGCACAGCCCTTTGGATAACAGTGAGTCAAGAATTCAGCACATGCTGCTGACAGAAGACCCACAGATGCAGCCCGTGCAGACACCCTTTGGGGTAGTTACATTCCTCCAGGTGAGGCGCGGGTTGGACATGGGCTCAAGCCTTTCCTGGGCGAGAAGTCCTAGTAGGACAGAAGGGCTTGGGTGGGGGAGGTGAAGGGAACAGGAGATTTCCTTCAGTCTTCTTGCATTTTCTGTCCCCTCTGATGGTTCGTCAGGTATAGTCGGATGGTCTGATTTAGCCTGCTGAGATGGGAGAAGGGGGAAAGGTAAGGGGCCATGTGGGGGTGGCTGGAGAATGGCTGTAGTTGAGTGGCTAACAGGGTGGGTATTTGATGAACTAGTAAAGACCCAGACAGCAGTAGGCACAGGACCTCCTAGCAGGAAGGCAGCGTCGGGCTGGCCTTGCCCTCACCGAAGGGGTGTGCCTCCACTCTGGCTGCACCTGGGCTCACTTGTGGGCATGATGGTGTCTGTGTGAAGGTTCACTTGTTTCCCTTGAGGTTTACATAAAGGCCCAGCCCCTGACGAGGAAGGAAGCTTTTCTGCAAACTTCTGGGGCCCTTTGGTTGTCATTCTGAGCTTGAAGGGTCTCAGAGTCTCCTCTGTTTACATTCCCTGTGATCATAGCCCCGGCAGGAACATCTCGCTGAACACCCTCTGCTTCCAGGGACAGGCTGAGGACCCAGACTGATTTTTGCCTCTGTAGTCTAGGGCTAGACTTTGTGTCACCCAGACACAAGTCTGGCCCATTATAACGGGGCAAGGGTCAGGCCTTAGTGCCCCATCTGTGAATTCTTCCATCTCCTAGCCAGGCAGCTATTCTCTCCTAGCCAGGAAACCGTCCCATTTTGCATAGACCAGCCTCTGACCACATATCTTGCCTGTGGTCCCCCAACTTGAGTTGACCCTAAAAGAGCCTAGGTGGTGGTTCTTCTGGGGTGGGGGGTGGGGCGGGGGGGGAGTGGTCATTAACACACAACCGCATCTTGTCCCCGGGGTCCCAGATTGTTGGCGTCTGTACCGAGGAGCTCCATGCAGCCCAGCAGTGGAACGGGCAGGGCATCTTGGAGCTGCTGCGGACGGTGCCTGTGTGAGTACACCCCCAGCCTATGAGGTGGGGGCCTGGCTCCCTGGGCCTGGGGGTGGGGGTTCCTCCTTAACCCCGTATGTGGGCTTCCCCTTACGTTGCTTTTCAGGCACCGATTTTTCACGTCAGGGATTCTTACCGACTTGCTCCCTGACAGCCCCTGACCTCTAACTGCTTCCCTGTGTTCTGGGCCTAGGGCAGCAAACAGGGCAGTCTGAATCCCCAGACCATCAGCCCCAGGCCCTCAGTTACCATCCTGTCCCCTTTCCTTGTCCACAGCGCTGGCGGCCCCTGGCTGATAACTGACATGAGGAGGGGAGAGACCATATTTGAGATCGATCCACACCTGCAAGTATGTCTTGAGTGAGGAAAACCTTTCTAGCACATTCTGCCTAGGCCTCTTCCAAATAACACTGGCTTTCATGCTGGGAAAATGGAGGAGTTTTATTTGTGAGTGAATAGAAATATGGCATGATTTCAACTTGTTCCTTGAATTCTGCAGAGCACACAGGGAGCAGAGATTTCAGGCCAGGAAACTTGCCTCTGACACGTGTCTTTTTGCATTTAAAAAGGAAGAAAACGGTGGGGGGGGTTGGTGGCAGGGTGCATCCAGGTGGCTCAGTCGGGTAAGCCTCTGACTTCAGCTCAGGTCACGATCTCGCGATTCGGTTCGTGAGTTCAGGCCCCGCGTCAGGCTCTTTGTTGACAGTTTGGAGCCTGGAGCCTGTTTTGGAATCTGTGACTCCCTCTCTCACTGTCCTCTCCCCCGCTCTTGCTCTGTCTCTGTCTCTCAAAAAATAAATAAGCATTAAAAAAAAAAAAAAAAGGATGAAAATGGGCACCTAGGTAGCTCAGTCATTTGAGCATCCAACTCTTGATTTCAGCTTAGGTCATGATCCCAGAGTTGTGGGATCAAACCCTGAGTCGGGCTCCTTGCTGAATATGCAGTCTGTTTAAGATTCTCTCCCTCTCTCTCCTTCTGCCCCTCTCCCCCACTCTCTTTCTCTCTCTCTTTCTGTCTCTAACATAAAAAACATTTTTTAAGGGTAAAAAAAGGATGAATTTTATTGTATGTAAATCATACATCAGTACACCTGACATAAAAAAAAAAAAAAAAAGATCAGCAGCAGCTACAGAAAATCAATATTGCTTGCCCACTATTCTTCCTCCCACTTCCCCTTTCTTAAAAGAATATAGACTGCCCTTCAGGGAACCACCCCTCCACCGCCAGCACCCCATAACCGACGGAGCAGGTGATACTGACCCCATGACCCAGCTGCAGTGGGAATTCTGATGGGTCTAATGATCGTATTCCCCCCTTTTAGATACATCTTCCCCTTGGGCAGTCAGACTCCAAGCTCCTCCCCTGGGGAGGCTGGCATTCTTTGATGTCTAAAGGAAGTCTGTATACATGCAGGCCTGCAGTTGCCCACTCACTGTGACCCAGCTGTGCAGTGACATCTTTGGTTTCTTAGAAGAAACACTCTTTGCATGCAAGTTAATTTTGAAAACCACCTAGAGCATAACTTCCTTCCTAATGGGCTGCTCATGAAACAGGACAGCAGACAACTAAGAATGTCCCTGGCTTGTGTACGCTTTCTTCTACTTCCCCCCACCAATTGCAGGTCATTGCCGTCTCTGAACCTTTTATGTGTCTGTAAAAATATGGTAGGCCGTGGGCAGGCACTAGGAGCTCCATCTCCTTCAGGAGGAACGAGAGGTGGCAGGCAGACATACAGCCAGCAGTCCCTGTGGGTTCTTTACTGTAGACTTATGAGTTCTTGGGCAGAAGCCCTCCTCATTCACAGATGATGCTCCTCTATTTTCCTAGTGCCTGTAACACTGAAGTTTTTAAATTGCTGGGAGGATCCTTTGTTATTGCTGCTTTATACTTGGTTTCCCTGTAGCTTCTGCTTATGCAAAAACCAGGAACCATGAAGGTTTGTTTCTCTATGTTTCCCTATGTCATTGTTCGGCAGCCACACTGGGATCCAACATGGGCCACTGTTTAGCCCCTGTCATAAGTGCCAAGTACTAAGAAAGAACTTGGTCCTTTGAACTAGTAGGATAAGCAGCCCGTCCTTCTCTGCATGCCAAGAACAGTTCTCCATCCTAGTCTTGGGGCTCTGCTGAGACCAGCCAACAGGACCCAGAGCACCTACTGGTCTTTGAAAGCAAGCAGGAGGTGTTGGGGGGCTGGCTCAGTGGTAGAGCACACAACTCTTGATCTCAGGGTCATAAGTTCAGGCCTCATATTGGGTGTAGAGTTTACTTAAAAATAAAAAATGAAAATTAAAAAAAAAAAGGGGGAGACCTTGGGAACAAAGTCCAGCTTTCTCACCTGATTGCCCTGTGCACCAAGGGGAACTCTGCTGTACTCGTTTGTAGCTGTCTGGGGCCTGCTCATAGGCAGTTCATTTAAAAGCTGGCTCCTGTTCCTTTGCTCCAGGCCCTGCTACCAGCCAGCTGTGTGCCTAAAGAAGTCCCTTCTCCGGGTCCTAATTCTTTCTTTTTTTACTTGTAAAGTAAGTGGGCTGAACTAGTTGAGTCAGGAGACCTCCTCAGCTCTTTGCTTAGGTGAGTGTCCTCAGGGCAGCCAATGGAAAGGGAAAAACTCAGACTCTACCCTGAGCAAAGCAGGGCCCACATGCTCCTACCTGGAACATGGAGCTGCTCCTGCCGTCGGCCTCTCCCTGTCTGTGCTCAGAATCCCCTGCTTCGGGGTGCCTGGCTGGCTCTGTCAGTAGAGCATGCAACTCTTGATTTCAGGGTTTCAAGTTCAAGCCCCACGCTGGGTGTTAGAGATTCTTTAAAAATAAAATCTTAAATTAAAAAAAAAAAAGAATCCTGAGCTTCACCTAAGCTGATGGTAGCGCTGGAAAGGAGGCATCAGGGCGGGGCCATCTGCTACTGGTCTCAAGAAATAAGGACCTTTCCTTGTGTTTCCACACATAGTTCCCTGGCTGAGCAGCAGGCTGGTGTGATGCCTGTGGAGCCGCAGGGAGAGGGTCAGGCAGACAGCGGGGTGCAGACTCTTATTGAGGTGCTTTCACTTAGGAGCTTTATTTGGCCCACGTGGCTGTTTATAAGCAATGTTGCTAGAGCCTTCCAGATGACCTTTAATCCAATGCCCAGCATCACAGAACTATGTTTTACCAGAAATCCCAGGGATGTTTGGGTACAGCTCTTCCTTGAGGCTATTTGGAGAGTGTTTGGACTCCACAGTGCCAAGGCCTGCACAAAGGAAGGGCCTCTGGTGGGGTCTGTAGTTGGTCACTGCCCTCCAGGCCCCCATTTCAGTCTAAGACACGGAAAAGAAACTCCATCCAGAATCCTTTGCCAAACAAGTTAGTGATGCAGCTAGAGGAAGTCCTGCCCTTCTGCTCTCTGGTGACGCTTCTGTGGGTGACCACACCCTCTGCTGTTAGAAGAGGAAACTGCAGGTGTGAGGTTGGAGAAGTTGGGCTGAGTCCTGGCCTCTCCCACCTGGCAGGCTTCCGCCCTGTTCTCTGTAGCAGTAACAAGGGGTTTTTCCTGGCTAACCAGGGAAGAGAGGAAGGACTGTGCCTTTCCTCAGGGAAATAGTTCCTTTCTCTGCCGCATCAGCTCCATGGGCTGGCATGAGGTGGGCAGAATTAGAGCTCCGAAACAGGTGTGCAGGTCATTTTACTGGAAGGTTGAGCTAGAGGAGAAGCTTCCCTTGGGATTTTCATGCTTCCTGGCTTCCCCTGATCCCTGGTTCCCCTGGAGGAGTCCAGTGGCTGGCAGAGACTGTCATGTGTTAGTAACCAGGGCAGAACAAGATCAGAGATCGTGCTCTTCCAGCACCTATCCTGTGCTCAGCACCTACAAGAATCATTAAATACCAGAAGGGTGGTGGTGACCCTGGGCCACCGGTTCGCTGAAGGAACTCTGGCTCTTTGGTTCTTTCCAAGCAGGAGAGAGTTGACAAAGGCATCGAGACGGATGGCTCCAACCTGAGTGGCGTCAGTGCCAAATGTGCCTGGGATGACCTGAGCCGGCCCCCTGAGGATGACGAGGACAGCCGGAGCATCTGTATCGGCACGCAGCCACGGCGGCTCTCTGGCAAAGGTACCTGCTACCACCAAGCCTTCCCCTTCCCCTTGCCCCAGGCCCAGTTTTCGGGCTCTCTAGGACGAGTCTCTAACAACAGCAGCCCATTCAATAGTTCCCTTCCTGGCAGGATCTAAACAGCAAGTGAAGCCTTCCAAAGGGTGGCATGAGGAGAGCTTTATTGGGCCATTTCTCCTGTGTTTCCTGTGTGTATTTCAGATGCACCACGAGCAGTGACCATTGTGTTTTAGATTTGCCCCTTGCAATCTGAGGTCATGGAGGTGAGTGGAAGCCACAGAACAGTTACAGGAAAAGGCCATAGTCCACCCAAGTGCAAAAGAACAAGCATTGGCCACCCACGGAATTGACACAGGGCCCAGCTCTGGCTTGAAAGCCATGCCAGACCCAAGAATCACTATGGCCTCAGGCCCTCCCAGGCCTTAGATGAGAGAGGCCTGAGTGTGAGGCCAGCCCACTAACTTCCCTGCCTCACTGTCCTGCAGATATAGTGTAAGTGGCTGTGTGCCGGGCACCCTGTACCCACTGCCTTCTGAGCAGGGCCTTGGGGAAGGAGGATATGGCTCTCCTGTTAGAAGCTCACCAAGGTGGTCTTGGCAGTAGAAACAGCTGTGGTTCTTAGCAAAGGGCATCCCTACCAAACTGCAAAAGGAAAGCAGGCCTTTACATATACGTGTGTTCACAGCTTTTTCTACTTTCTTTCTCGAATTCCTCCACCTTTTCTTATTGTTTGAAGAGTAAGATACCCACAGTCCTGAATAAAATACCTACACATGTGATAGCACGAAAGCACTTCTCTTTCCATAAAGGACAAACTTAAACCCCTGGTGCAAATATCTGACTCCCTTTTGCCTTCTTGCTTGTTCTGTTGGTGTGCTAAACCCATCAGAAGTTCCGAGAGAAAGTCAGCAGTTATTAAAATCATTCAGTTGCTTTTGACGAAAGAGGTAGTATAAGGAGGGATTCATAGTCTTGTCCACAATTTCAATTAGCCAATTTCATGATTGGCTAATTTTTAAAAATTATACAAGTACCTGCATCACTGTAACAAGGCAGACAGTTAGAAAAGTTAGTATTATTACCTCTGTAGTCCACTTTAAGCCCATCCTTGGAGCACTCAGCATTAATTTGCTTTTTTGGATGTGTTTGCAGTTTGCAGAGGTAAGTCTTAGACCAAAATCTCTGTAGGGGACCAGAATAGTGAGCTTCATCCCAAAGATCAGCAAAGCACCTTGCAAAGAAATAGTCCCACCAAGAGATTCCTCTCTCACCCCCTGGCCCTTGGCAGACCCATGGAGAGACAAGGTTCCTGGGCCAAGGTAGGGAGGTGACTTCATCATCCCACTGACCTGGCCCAAGGAGAAGGGTGGCAGGGCCAGATACCATATGACCAACCAGAACCCAGAAACTATATAAGAGTTCATTCATGGCAAGACACTTGCAGCCCTTAGTGGCACCCATTATAGTGGGAAGCATCCCTAAGTGATCTTGGGCACTGGCAAAGACCTTGTTAGTCACTGTCTGGGGCTATGATAAGGGTAAACCTAGGGCTTGTGGCCCAGGAAGGGGAAGGACAGTGAAAAGCCCTGTCTTGGAAGGTGCCCTTCTGAAGTCTGAAGGTCACCCCCTGTTGTCTTCTACAAGAATGGCACTCTTCAGACCAGAAGTTTCTTGAGAGCGTGGTGCCTCATCTGCCCTGTGTGCTCGTACTGCTCTCACTCAGCTCTAGGGTGGGCTCATGGGCTTCACAGGGCCTTTCCCCAGCATGTCTGCAGAGCCAGGTTCTGAGTGGGATGTTAGGAGCCCATGAGGCAGCTTAGTGGTGTTGTTGCAGACACGGAGCAGATCCGGGAGACCTTGAGGAGAGGACTTGAGATCAACAGCAAACCTGTCCTTCCGCCAATCAACCCTCAGCGGCAGAACGGCTTCACCCACGACCGGGCCCCGTAAGTTCCTTGCCCACAGAGGGGGCTAGTACAGCTTCCTGAAAGCAGTGTTCCAGGGCTGGTACAAGTGGGGGGAAGTTTTGTTCTGAAGGGTCTGTCCCTGGGGCTTGCATGAGAGAGAACAATGCCCATAGCCCTTGTTGGATGGGCCCAGGGTCTCTGGGGCACACAGATCTGTGGGTCATAAAAGGGCCTCAGAGGGATCCTAGCAGACCAGAAATATAAACATCAGTAAATATTTACATGGGCTGTGTGAGCAGACGGGAGGCCAAGTTGGGGCAAAATCCCAGCCTTGTGGGAGCCCATTGTGCTGAGCACGACTCCCCTCCTTATCTCGGCCTCGGCCAGAGTTGCCCTTCCTTCCTTCCTGGAGCCTGGTCTCCGGCTGATAGCTGCAGCCCCAGGGGCCTCCCTGTCTGGCCAGCCCCATAGTGGATGCCTGCTGCTGAGGCCCTTTTTCCTGCCTCCCTTCCATGAGGCCCAGGGAAGGGAAGGGAAGTCCTTTGCAGGCCTCTGCTCCCTGTCGTGGGGCCCCAATAGCCCTTGGGAGAGACTGTGGCCACCCCTACAGGTCAGATCCTCTTCCTGCTGACCTCTCTTCCTCTGATAGGTGATAAGTGGTAGGCAGGGCTGGAGCTGGGCACCCCCTTCTGCCCTTTGAATCAGGGAAGCTGTAGGGAATAGATGCTGGCAAGGGCTGCCTGGGAGCTGGCAGCCCAGAGCAGAAACCTTGCCTGCCAGGGAGGAAGTTGCTGCACCCTGGGCTAAAAGGGAAGCACAGAACTCCTGCAAGACCAGGGTGATCTATCCTTCTTCTGAGAAGTCTTTATTACATGCTTGCTGTGTGGCAAGCTCAGGGCCCAGAGGGCCACCTAGGATATAGGCTCTTCCTTTGGGGGTGCGTGAACTGAAGTTGGTGTGAGTCTGGGTGTAGATGCAGTTAGTTAGAAATAGCTACCTCTTTGAATTCTAGCTCCATCTGCTCATCCATGATCCCCAGAAGTGGTAGTGATCTACTAGTCTACAGAAAAGACAAGTCAGCATGATCTGGAATAGTCAGGGAGGGCTTCTTGGAGGAGGAAGAACATGAGACGGACCCTGAAGGTGCCCTAGAACTTTCAAGCAGGAGAAGGAGCTGACGTGGATGGAACAGGGGAGGCCTGGCTGGTTAAAGTCAAAGCTTCAACCTGGGAGCAGATTGTGGAGGAGGGAGGGCTGGTTACTCTGGCTGCCCAAGATGGCTCACCTGGTGAATCTGCCGTCCAGAAGCTAGGCGGGTTGAACTTTTTGGCAAGAGCCTGGAGAAGCCTCCACTGCCACCTCCGAGCAGCTTTCAACTCCAGCCAGTGGGTTTCTCCAGCCATCTGCTTTGAAGTAGCTGGCGTGAGGCACCATGATCTTCCCCTGGCAGCAGCAGATGGCCAGGCTGAGGCGTGGGGCATCTGGAAGCTCTCCACCTACGAGTCTGGACCCTGTCCCAGGGCCATGCTCCTTCCCATGCCCTGAGCTTGGCTTCTCCTTCTAGGCCCCGTTGGCACTGGCGGGGAGGCCGGGAGGTACTTGAAGGCTTAAAGGCTTAAGCATATTGCCTATAACTTGTAGACTGTCTCAGTTCAGATGGCCTTGTCAACTCTGGAAGGTCCAGGTTTCTGGGAAGAAGGGCAGGGGCTCCTGCAGAGACACACCCCACTTGCCCCTCTTATATTTGTACAACAGGCTTGAAATCTCGCTCCCTGTCCTGGGCATACGTCCAGCTGCTGCACTTCCACACATTGTGGGGACCCAAGGATTCAGGGTTCCCGGATGCATACGTACAGCCCAGACTCAGCCCACCCCTGACTGGGCAGAGGGGCATTGGATCTGGTCCAAGGGCTATCTGTAGATGGGTGGAAATAGATCAGGGGTGCTGGCCCTTTGGGGTCATTTCCCTTCCCTTGCAGCTCAAGTGCCCAGTCAGGTCTCCAAAGTGCTGGAATCTGCAGCCTGGAGGGAATCAGAACGTCTCTTCTGAGGTTCTCGGTACTAGTTACCAATTTGTTAGCGATTGGTTGAGAAATGGTTCTTCCTGCTTTGCCAAGAACCTTTTCCAACACACTCTTCAAGTGTCTCGAGGCTCTAGCTCGCTGTTATCTCACGATCGATGATGATGGACTCAGTTTAGATCAGCAAGCACGATTGTAATATCTATGCTGCCCACTCTGGGACCTGACCCCGTTTCAGATAAACCACATGGATGCGACTGAGAAAGCCGGCCCAAAATGTGCTGGCACTAGTGTTTGCTCCTCTCCCTGTGGGGGAACAACCAGCGTGGGCCTTATTGTGTGTGCATGTCTGATTTTCCTTTAGTCAGGCTTTCTAGGCTGGGGCGCGCTGGTTCCACATGGGTCTGGGTATGGTCTGAGAAGGCTACAGTTCAGAAGAGCCGATGGAGCCTGGGCATTAGTGTGAACTCTGGCCCACTTGAGGGGGGCGTCGAGCCCTTGCTCTTTTCACACCCCAAAAGCAGCTGATGTCTCCATAGTGACTACTGTGTGCCAAGTAATGTTCCAAGTGCTTTATGCCACATGAGCTTAATTTATTCTGAGTCACTTTGTGAAGTAGATAATCTTATTATACCCCTTTTATAGGTGAGGAAACTGAGGTACAAAGAGGCTAGTAAGTAACTTGTCCAATGTTAGAAAAGGGTGGAGCTTAGGGCAGTCTTCCCTACTTGTGACCTTCCTTACCCCATTCTCAGGGACCGCATGAGGGACACACAAGGCTGAGGTACTAGTGACCCTCATTGGGGGACCTCATCTAACTAGTTGGAGCAGGACTAGGAACCTCTCACATGACACTGAGGACAAGACTGAGTCCCATGTTAGAAGCTTACTATGCTTATTTAACTCTAGGGAGGACATGTGGTCAGTTCGGTGCTTTCAAATCCCAGAGATAACGAGCTGTATCATATTTGGCTCGTTTATACCAGAATTACTTTTTGACACAAAGCCTAGTTTTCTTTATGTTCAGAAGCAAAACCAACCCTATCTCTCTCTCCCCTCTACCACCTCAGGGCTAGGGGATTTCTTTCTTCCTTTCTTTCTTTTGACCTTACTTCCTGCTTCCCAGAAAGGCAGGCCCCTCTGGGTAACCTGCTCCTCTCCCACTTGCGCTTGCCAGCCCTCCTCCCACCGCCTTCCTGGAAGGAGAGTCCTTGGCCCCTTTTGGGGCTTCTTTCAGGGTTTCACAACCCTTGCATTCCAGCCGTGAAATTTGTATCTGGCTTTTCCCAAGATGATCAGTTGAGAAAAGCCTCCTTCGGCTCACTGGCGCCTCCCTTCCCACTGCCCTCCCCGGGTGAGTTTGGGAAGCTTGGGAAGCAACTCCTTTTGGCCACTGAGAGCCTGGCTTAAGGACTGTGCCTGCCGGCAGTGGTAGGGACCTGAGGGGGAAAAGAGGCCCCGGGCTTCTTCTCTGTCTGAGGTTGCCTAGACTGTTCTGTGGAGTTTGGACTTTGCTCCCTAGTCTCTCACAGGGACTCAGAGGATGTGTGTGGTCAGGTGCACTGGGTGGGGAGCTTTGCATTTTCATAAACTTCTCTGATGCTGGGAACCTGCAGCAGTGTTCCAGGACCTCCCCCTCTCTCTGCCAGGGTCTCACTTGACTGAGGTTGGAGGACCTTTACGAAGCTCTCTGGGTCGCATACCCTCCCACAGAAGGGCAGGGCTCATGCGTGTGTGTACATATGTGTTGGCAGGAGAAGGTTCCTGACTGTGAGAAAACCACTTTGTAGTTGAGGCATCTTTAAAAAGCAAACTAACCATCATTTCTGAGCCAAGTTTCTCAGTCTTCTGGGATCATGCCAGCGGCTTTTAAGGCTTTTTTTTTTTTTTCATTTTTGCTTTTTTGCCTTAATTTCCTGAAGAATTAAGGTTTTTAGCGTGAATTCTCTGGTTGTGACAGTCTCCACTGCACAACCCCCCAACACACACACGCGTGCACATATATTTCTCCCCACTTTTATGAGTGTCTCTGCTCCCATCTGTTTGCCTTTTGGACGGAGTGACTTTGCTGCCTCTGTTCCCATCTTGAATAGCTTATAACCTGGCCAGGGAGTCATCCTTTAGAGAAACTTGTGTTTTGTTTTGCTCACCCTATGAGGTCTGTGATGAGTCACTAGGAGAAGAAAATATCTAGTTTGCATCTAGTGAATTGGGTGAAGGAAGGTGAGTTTCGGTCCGGGAAAACAGCTGGGCCATCGGGGCGCAGGGCTCACGTGCAGGGCAGTTGTGGGTGACCCTGCTCAAAGGATCCATCACATCAGTGCAGCGGCCAGCCCAGAGCCTGAGTCTGTCACGTTGGCTTCCCTCACCACTCCCACGCTGGGGAAGTACGGTTGTTTTCACTGGAGAGAAAACCCAGAAAGAAACAGCCCTGCTCACAGGGCCCCAGCCAGGCTCCACAGGGCTGATGGGAGGAAGGGCCCAGGCCTCTGTGATCCACGCATGTTGTGCTAAGTGCCTGCCTTTGTGTGCCTTTCTCAGAGACAAACATTTGAGAGGACAGAACAAGGGGCCCCACAGCAAATCCGGCCCAGGCCGATTGGTGTTTGAACTCCTTGCTCTGCTCCACCATCCCAGAGACCTGGAGCCGTGGCCTCAGAGTTCATGGCCAGCGTGTTGAATCCTCAGTCTACACGGCATCCCCCTTCTTCAAGTTGCACAATCAGGAGTATTTTTATCGCCCATCTTTGATCCTCAGTGTCACCCAACACTTCAGCAGTGAGTCACTTCTCCAGGGAAGGGAAAAGGAAGGCTGGAAGGTGAGAGCTGGAGAGAGGAAATGACTCAGTGTCTCAGAAAACAGAAAGCCAGGCGTTCTGGTGAGAGTGGGCTCACTCAGGAAAGCAGGCATCCTCCTCTCCCGCTCAAGGTGGGGGGCTGGGCAAGGGGGCGGGGTCCCTGGTGCCCAGAGGAGTTAATGGTTGCTGAAGGAATCCCCTCACCATCATGGCAATTTTG